TCGGTGCTTGGCGCATAGTGGGGCCTCGGCAATTCCTACAAAATGAATGCGTATGTGGTCTAAAGTAGCTATCTATGCAAACAAATCATGTGGTCGGTAGGTAGTAAAAGGCAGTGAGCATTAAGAGCTTGGATGTTGGAGTCAGACCCACTTGAATTTGGGTCTTGGCTCCCCTACTTGAGCAAGTCACTTAATCTTTCTCAGTCCTGAAGGTGGTGGGGGGCGGCGGGGGTGCAGATAACGCAAGAAAGATGCTTAGCACAGGCTGTAGCTCTTTGGCAGAATTGCCCCGGGAGCAGCTCTTTGCAAGCAAAGTGCAGACATGCTCGTCTTTCTCTAGTGGGGGGAAATCTGGCCAGGATGGGGAAGGCGGGGGACGGAGACGCTAGGCCTGCGCCGGCCCCCCACCCCGTGCCCTCCCCAGGGAAGGGCTCCTGCTCTGCCGCCCAGGCCAGTGCCCCCTGCCCCGTCCCCTTTCCCAAACGTGCTCCTCGACCATCACAGCGGAAGGGTGTGGCTGAGACGGAGCTGCAGTCCCCTGTGGGGCGACCAGGCTCTGGGCTTGCTGCCCTCCCTCCATCATCTTCTTCAATCCTCTCAACAAATGGAGGAAACTGAGGCACAGAGAGTGGCTTGCTCAAGGTCACAGCCACTAGTGCATGAGTGTCACTCACACCCAGGCAGTCTAGCTCCAGGCGCCTTTACTGAGCAGGCCAAGTTCGTAGGGAACGTTGTTCAGAAGGGGCTCCCAAGGGGGAACCACCAGGCCACAGGTGGAGCCACACGGAGCCCCCACTCTCAGGCCCCAAGCCTGTGTCCACCTGCCTCACCCAGGCAGGGCCCAGCTTCCCGAGACCTGGCTGTGACAACAATGTCTGGGTGTTAATCCCCTCTGAGTTTAGGGGCCTGAGCTGGGTCTGGCCAGGCGGGCTGGTTCCCACGCCAGGCCATCCACTCAGCAAATCCGCACAGGCTCTGCAGGGAGGGGTGGAGAGGGGGAGGGGGCGAGGGCCCCTGCTCAGCCTAGGCCTTGCTGTTCAGGGCCCCTCTTCCCCTCACTGGGGAGGTCCCTGAGCCTGCCCCAAGCCCTCGCTGGTCCCATCCTCCTCCTTGTGCCCCCTCCCACCCAGAACCTCTATCCCAACACCCGCCCCTTGCAGATCTACCTCAGCAGCCCCAAGCCCAAGACCCCTCCTCATTAAAGCACAACGTGGCCAGGTCCTGTCTTCTCACCTGGGTTCTCACCGGCGTTATTCCAAATGCTTCCAAACTGCTTTCCCTGCTTCTAAACTAACTTTTCTTCTCATTCTGTCACCCTGACTGGAGTGCAGTGGCCTCATCATAGCTCACAGCAACCTCAAACTCCTGGGCTCAAATAATCCTGTCTCAGCCTCCAGAGTAGTCTGGGACTACAGGCATGTGCCACCATGCCTGGCTAATTTTTCTTTTTTTGTAGAGATAGGATTTTACTATGTTGCCCAGGCTGGTCTTGACCTCCCAGTCTCAAGTGATCCCACCAACTTTGGCCTCCCAAAGTAAACGGTGTATTCTTTTTTTTTTTTTTTTTGAGACAGAGTCTCACTTTGTTGCCCAGGCTAGAGTGATGCCGTGGCGGTCAAGCCTAGCTCACAGCAACCTCAACTCCTGGGCTCAAGCAATCCTCCTGCCTCAGCCTCCCAAGTAGCTGGGACTACAGGCATGCGCCACCATGCCCGGCTAATTTTTTTATATATATGGGTTGCCCAATTAATTTCCTTCTCTTTATAGTAGACATGGGGTCTTGCTCTTGCTCAGGCTGGTTTCGAACTCCTAACCTAGACTCCTTTAAAGGCGTAAGTCAGATTGTATCAGGCAGAACCTTCAGTGGGCCGGGGCCTGAGTGACGGGGCCCTGCCCACTCCTGTGGCTGCCTTCCTGCCACTCTGTCCTAGCTGTGGTGCTCCAAAGGGCTCCCGGCTTGTTCCCACCGCAGGGCCTCAGCTCACGCTGTTCCGCTGGGGCCTTGCTCCCTTGGCTCCCGGCCTGGCTGGCTCCCCGACTCATCCAGGTCTCTGCTCAAATGTCCCTCCTCAAAGGAGCCCTCTGTGGAAGGCAGCTTCTAAGATGTCCCCTGGGACCAGACACCCTTGAATGCACGCCCTCCCCTTGAGTGGGTGGTGCCTAGTGACTTGCTTCTCACCAGTAGATTGTGGCGAGAACAATGGCGTGTCGCTGTCGATACTGGCTTACAGGTGGCTCACGCCTGTAATCCTAGCACTCTGGGAGGCTGAGGCGGGTGGATTGCTCGAGGTCGAGTTTGAAACCAGCCTGAGCAAGAGCGGGGACCCCGTCTCTTACTATAAATAGAAGAAATTAATTGGCCAACTAACATATATAGAAAAAATTAGCCGGGGATGGTGGCCGCGTGCCGTAGTCCCGCTACTCGGAGGCTGAGGCAGGAGGATTGCTTGAGCCCAGGAGTCTGAGGTTGCTGTGAGCTAGGCTGACGCCACGGCACTCACTCTAGCCTGGGCTTGCAGGAAGATGGAGGCTTCGGGCTGGCTCGCTCTGAGTGAGAGCCGTGTTGTGACCTGCCCTACACAGAGGCCCACATGGCCAGGAGCCGAAGGAGGCCCCCAGACCCCAGCTGACACCTGCACTGCAGCCTGTGAGTGACCCTGGGACAGGGGACCCAGCTAGGCCGCACCCAGATTCCTGATCCACAGAAAAAGGGAGACAATAAACATCTGCATTTTAAGCTGCTAAATTTGGGAGTGTGACTTTTTACATAGCCATAGATAACACCCACCTCCACAATCGCTTTATTTTTCTTTGCAGCACTAGTTGCCGCGCTGGTTTGTGGGAGGCGACTGGGTGACCGCCAGGAGGCCAGGGTCGCGCCTCTTACTGGTCTCAGCATCCCCAGCGCCCAGCCCGGTGCCTGCCCCCACGCAGGGGTTACGCACTGAATGAGTGAATGGGTGAAGAAATGCAGGGACCTCAGAGGGACAAGGGCATAGCTCAGAAAAGCCAGATGTGGGGGGCTGAGGACAGGGGAGGGTGGCCCACCCCAGTCCTAGCTGCCCCAAGGGTCACCGCTGGCTCTAAGCAGAAACCAGGCACCCCGGTCTCCCACCTCTGCGGAACGAAGCTGCCCCCACCCTGGGACCTCGGCCCCGGCGGCCCCGGCCCAGGCGTCAGGCTCTCACGGCCTCCAAGGGAGAGCTGGTCCCATCCCCGTGCTTCTCCCGGGCCATAAGATGCGGGTTGTCCTGCGGCCTCCGGACCGAAGGCGCATTTTTCTTCATTTGGTCAGGAGATTTGCTAAATGCCTTGTTTAGGGTGATCTAATTTTTATACTCTTGCCAGACTTTTCACAGAAATAATTTGTTAAGAAAAGAATCCCATTCCAGCCACATGTCCCAATTTTTGTTTGGAAAACGGTCCCTGTGCCCATAAAAAGGAAAGGACTGCTGAGTCCAGTCCCCTCCTGGCCCTGTCCCCAGGGGGTCCCAGGCCACGCCAGGGGCTGAGAGGCTGGAGCACCTTCCAGCAAAAACACAGCCCCGGTTGGAACCCAGAGCCCAGTCTGGGTCTGGCGAGGGCTGGCCCCGTGCCCACCTGAGTGAGCCATTTCCTCCCAGACGGGCAAGTTTCCTGCCCAGAGGGAACAGGGCACATTCCCAGGCGGGGGTGGGCTGGGGCCTGCACTCGGGGAGGGGCTTCCATGGGTATTTCCCCCACCGCAGCGACCATGCCCTGGGATGAGAGGCCTGTCCTGGTGGTACAGCCGGAGCAGGGTTCAGAGGTTGGGCTCGAGCTGTCCCAGGGGTGGCCATTCCTGGGGGATGACCCAAAAACCACCCAGCCAGCCTGGGGTCCGGCCTGCCCTGTGTCCCAGCTGTGCACTGGGTAAGGGCTGGAGGTCCCAGGCCAGCCCCTGCCTGCTCCCAAGCTGCAGCCCTTGGGTGACCGTGGTGTCCTTTGCTGAGAGGCAAGAAGAGCCTGGAAGTGCCTTCTCCCGGCCTCATCTCCTCCTGACGCCGGCCCTGCCTCCCCCCACCCAAAAGCCCCCACGGCCCCCACTCTCCAAGCCCACCATGGGGCGGCGCCTTTGCCCTGTGGGGCCTCTCCTGAGCTGGGGCCCTCAGTCCCCATGGAACCCAGTGCCCCGTGGGCTGGGTGCCTGGGCTAGCAGAACGTGGCTGTGCTGGAGCTCAGCTGCCTTGGACAAAAGTTGGCCAGAACCACATCCCAGCGCCCATCAGGAGTGGACCTGCCGTATTTCTCACGCCCGCCTGTCGCTGTCAGCTTCCCTGGGCCGGATCTTCAACAAGAAGAGGGCAGCGGGGAGCACGCAAAGCACGTGAGCTCTGGGGGCCAGGCCGCCTGGATTCACATCCTGGCTTGGCCACTTACTACCTGTGTGCCCTTGAGCAAGTTACTTAACCTCTCTGAGCCTGTTTGTGAATCTGTAAAAACAGATAACAGTACCTGCTTCTTGGGCCTGATGTCTAAATGAAATTATGAAAGTACCCAGCACGTGCCTGGTAAGCACCAACACATGGCAGTGACTCTGCTGACAGGCTCAGAGCGGGCGGTGGCTTGTCCGAAGGCACACAGAGGCAGGCAGAGGAGCTGGCACCCGACCCTTCGTGCTCCCTGAGCTGGGCCCTGCAGGGGACACAGGGCTGAACAGGGCTGAGGTGGGAAGGACCCTGGTGGTCTCTGGGGGCCCAAGACCACTGACAGAGGCTTCCTTCATCTCTTTCTCAGCCTGGGGTGGGCCAGGGCATGGCACCGTCCCCCCAAGTCTGCAAGTGGGTGCTGGGCCATGTGTCCCTCCCGCCCCGCACCCCTCCCCACTCCGCTTGAACTCCTCCTGGGTCTGCAGGGAGCCCTGTCCCCCAGGGTGCCCGTCCAGGCCAGCCCGAGGCACATGTCCCAGGATCCTGCCAGAGGGCTGTGTGGCCTCAGAAAGGCCTCTGTCCCTCTCTGTGTCCGTGACTCTAGGCACAGGCTGAGCAAATCACCACTTTATTGTTTATGGGGAGCGCAGGGGAGGCCGGTGCAGACAGTGAAACTCCCCAGCCCCAGCCCCACCAGGGAAGGCAGGTGAGGGGCTGAGTCCGTCGCCCACCCTGAGAACAAGAGGGAATCACCCAGGGGCCCCGAGTCGCCCCTCTCTCCAAGGGCCCATCCCAAACCCCTGCCCTCCCGCAGGGTCCCCAGCGCCCACCCAGGGGCCGGCCCTGCCACTCCGCCTCCAGGCAGCGTCCTGGGATCAAGGCCACACAGGTCAGCCGCGTGGGCCTGAGACAGACTCCGAACCCTCCCTCAGGCGGGTCAGGAGGGGGCCGAGCCCCGAGGCGGGCTGGGCGTGGACACGGAAGTCCTCTGGGGTGGAAAGTCCTGTGGAAGGCGGGAGGGAAGGATGGAGGGAGGAAGCCGCCACTTTCCCCTTCCCCTGGGGGCCTCGGGCTCCAGTGACCAGGACCTTCCTCTCACTTGGGCTCTGGGGTGCAGGCTGGAGGGTCGTGGACAGGGAGGGGGAGCCTCAACCTCCCCACCGCTAGTGACCTGGAGGACAGCCCTGGCCTGGCGTCGGAGCGGGGCCGGAGGGGATTCCAGCTCCCGCTGTCCCCACCCCAGGAGAGGTCGCCCGGCTCTTCTTGAACGTGGCCTCTCGAGGTCCCTACAGGGCTGCCGTGTCGGGGACGCGCGGGCTGGGGGTGCCCACCTGTATCTGGCAAAGGTCAAGCAGGGGCCGGGCGCCCACCAGACACCAGAGCTCGCCCAGGAGGGAGACGAGCACGCCCAGGAGGTCCAGCCAGCGGCCCACGGTCAGCAGCAGCACGAACAGGCCGCCCATGCGCACCAGCACCGTCTGCACCTGGCCCTGCGTGCCGGGGTGCTGCCGCTGCTCCTCTAGGGACACGGGCGCCTGTCACCACCCGCCCCTGCATCCTGGGTCTGGACCCCCCAGCTCCCAGACCCGCCCTCCCCAGAGCGAGCCTCCCCCACCCCCACTGTGGTCCTCGTCCCCATCTGCTCTCTGAGCACCTGCAGGGCGCCAGGCGCTCCTGCCTCCCAGGACTCTCCGCCCCCCGCTAGTCTCCTGCTGGCCCAGGACACAGCCCCGTCCTGCCTCCCCTCTTCCCGCACACCGTGTCCGAGCCATCAGACAGAGCCTGGCCGGCAGCGGGTCGTGAATGCCGACCGGACGGACTCAGGCCCCGGCCCTCACCCTGCATGTAGATGACCAGCAGCGTGTAGCAGATGGTGAGCGGCGTCCAGAAGCGCACGGCCTCCGAGGTGGTCAGGAAGTCCTGGTTGATGAGGGCCACAGCCGCCAGGTCGCCCACAGCAAAGGCCACGGCCAGGGCGCGGCCCAGGAGCCGGGGGAGGCCGTAGGCGTTGGCCAGCAGGCCCAGGCAGACGCCACAGTAGCGCTGGCTGCTGTGCAGCTCGTACAGGCGGCAGACGTGGCGCTGGAGGCGCCGGGCCCCCGAGGCGAGCAGCCCGGCCAGCCCGAGGCTCAGCAGCAGGTTCAGCGTGTGGTGAGGGGCGCCCTCCTGCAGGAAGCTCAGGCCGCAGGCCAGCCCGCAGCCCAGCGAGTACTGGCACAGCAGGTAGAGCTGCAGCCGCTCCGTGTCCCGGGAGCCCTGGGGGCGGCAGCAGAGCGACAGCAATGGGGGCTGCCCCACCCATAGGACGCTGGAGCCTGAGGGACCCTGGGGGTGGCTCTCAAAGCGGCATGCTGGCTTCAGGCTAAGCCCCAATGGGATCGTTTCTCCCGCCTTAATTTCATTCCTGTCTTATTACTTGGGGGCCATCTGTTAGCTAAAGAGCCTGGAAGACCTGGGTTCAAACCTGACTACCCCTTGCTGGTTGTTGACCATAGACAAGCCACCTACTCTCTCTGAGCCTCAGTTTCACCATCTGTGAAATGGGGACCACGACTTTTTTTTTTTTGAGACAAAGTCTCCCTTTGTTGCCCAGGCTAGCATGAGTGCCGTGGCATCAGCCTAGCTCACAGCAACCTCAAATTCCTGGGCTCAAGTGATTGATCCTCCTGCCTCAGCCTCCCGAGTAGCTGGGACTACAGGCATGCACCACCATGCCCGGGTATTTTTTTCTATATATATTAGTTGGCCAATTAATTTCTTTCTATTTAGAGTAGAGACGGGGGTCTTGCTCTTGCTCAGGCTGGTTTCGAACTCCTGACCTCGAGCAATCCACCCGCCTCAGCCTCCCAGAGTGCTAGGATTACAGGCGTGAGCCACCGTGCCCGGCCGGGACCATGACTTTTACCCGCTGTGGTTGTGAGGAGCAGATGAGATGCTGCACACAAAGTACCTAACACAGGGCCTGGCATTTGGGAAGCTCGAGACGCAGGAGCTGTAGCTGTGATTTTCTGGGTACGGGTTGTATCCACTGCGAGCAGAGACTTTGCTTTGGCAATCACAACCCGAGTGACTCACCCCACCTTCCCTGCGGTCTCACCTTGCCCAGGGACAGCAGTGTGGACACAGCCCGGAGGGAGAACTCGAGCACCACGAGGGCAGCCACGCGGGCCCCCACGATGGTCAGGAAGAGGGTCAGCCCTGCCACGTGCACCGTCTCCAGTGAGGCCCACTGGGCCTGCAGCCGCTCCTTCTGGGGCCGCCGCTGTGGGTCACTGTGGGGGCAAGTGGGTGTGGACAGGGGTGTGGAGCCACCAGCCTCGGCCCCTGGCAGGTGCTTGTGTCCCCAGTCATACTCCCTGGTCCGCTGCCAGCCCTCCCCAAAGAGACCAGAGTCACAGTACAGGGCCCAGGGGCCTGGCGAGGGGCTTGGAGTGGGACGGGGAGGTGGGCACTCACTTGGCGCAGCCCACGAAGAAGTAGACTTTCAGGAGGCTGTTCAGGACCGAGACTCCGAGGGCCCCGACCAGGCCTGGGGGTGTGGGAGGGAAGTGGCAGGTGCAGGAGGAAGGAGTGTTAGGCGGTGGGGCAGAGGAGGGGATAGCCCAGGTGGCAGGGCGGCAGGAGACCTGCGTGGGTGGGGTGCACCTGCACTGCCCGGAGCTGGGAGGGTGGGGCTGAGTGGGAGGGGGAGGCCTCACCTTGCAGGAGGGAGTCCAGGAGGCCGGAGCCCCACTCGAGGGAGGGGAGGGACGGCAGGTGGAACATGGCAGCCGGGAGGCAGCCTCGGCTAGGTCTGCACAGACAGACAGATGATGTCACCGGGCAAAGAGCAAAGGTGTCAGTACAAGGGGAGGAGGGCCCTGGAGGGGGAGGTCCAAGCCCAGACTGGGGTAGGGGAGGAGAGCCAGGGGCGTAACTCTTCCAGGCCCCAGGAAGGCGAGCACAGGGGCGTGGGGAGCCAGCTGCTGCCTGGTGCCCCCATTTGGCAGTGTGAGGTGAAGGGGGATGTATCTCTGGGGCTAGTCTCTGGTCTCTGTCCCTGCTAAAGTCTGCGTCCACTTTTCTCACCCTCCCGAGGCCCCAGGCTCCATCTACCCTGCCCCTGCCTTAGGTTTGGGTCCTGTCTTCTCAGCCTGAAGTGTGGGCTCTGCTCTCTCAGCCCCAGGCCTGAGGCTCTGTCGCCCGCAGCCAGAGGTCCGGCCGTGTCCCGTCAGCTCCAGGTCAGGGGCTCGACTGCCCCCCGCAGCCAGAGGTCTGGCCGTGTCCTGTCAGCTCCAGGTCAGGGGCTCGACTGCCCCCTGCAGCCAGAGGTCAGGCCCCGCCAGCTCTTTGTGAGGTCTGGTTCCGGCTTCCCTAAGCCTAAGGTCTGGCTCTGGCCTGGTGCGGATTCCTGCCCTCCTGCTGTCCCTGCCTGTGTCCACCAGGTGGCGGGCCTCACCGGGGCAGGCGGGGTGGGCTGGCTAGCGAGGCGCCTGCCCGGTCCTTGCCTGCAGAGTCAGGGCAGCGAGAAAGAGCAGCCAGCCAAGGGAGGGGGTCAGGGACGGGGTCTGAGGCTGGTGGCCGAGGGGAGTCATTGAACTAAACAAAATAGAAAAGTTTATTGACTTGGAGTGTGCAGCAGGGAAGGCAGGTGGGGCAGCTTGAGCCCGGCCAGTGCTGCCCCTTCCAGGGGGCTGGGGTCCCCGCTGCAGTGTCATGGTGGCGCATGGCGCTGAGAGCCTGACGCGGGGCGTGTGTGGGCCTGGAGAGGGCCGGGCGCCTGCTGCTCCCCCAGCCGCCTGCTGCTCCCCCAGCCACGGGCTCCACCCTGATTTGTCACTTCCTTTCCCGGCCTCGGTCTCCTCATCTGGACAACGGGCACTCCAGGGCTCCTGAAGAACCTCAGGCTCCGTGCAACAAATGCCCACAGCACCGGGCCCTGGGTGGCCCTCAGCAAAAGCCCTGAGAGGAGCTGAATTTTGTCCCCCAAAATTTGTATGTTGAAGTCCTGTCCCCCAGGACCTCAGGATGTGACTGTGCGTGGACATGGGGCCTTTGCAGAGATAATGAAGTCAAATGAGGTCATGCGGTGGCCTCATGACCATGACAGTCCAACATGGCTGGTGTTCTTACAAGAAGAGGAGATTGGGACACAGACACACGCAGGGGGACGACCACGAGAGGACACAGGGAGAAGGCGCCCTCGGAGGAACCAGCCCTGCTGACATCCGGCTCTCAGGTTTCTGGCCTCCAGAGTTGTGAGAACAGATTTCCATTGTCTAAGTCCCCTGGTCTGTGGCACTTTGTGATGGCAGCCTGAGCAACCAACATAGATGACGACGCCGTGGCCTCCCCTGCACCCGGGTGTCCCCATGGTACCGCGATCCCACGGTCCCGATGCGGCAGGGCCCTCATCAGGGGCACAGGTCCAGGGTGGGCAGACCTGGGTTCCCGTCCTGGCTCTGCCACTGCAAAGCTGTGTGGCTTTGGGCAAAGCCATGTCACCTCTCTCAGCCTCAGCTTCCTTATGGTAAAAGAGGATTTACTGTCTCGTGCTGCTGTGTGAGGACTGAGCAAGCTGACACGTGTAAGGCACTGGGCTCATGCCCGCAGCAGCTGTTATACCGAGGAATAAAGCTCTGGGATGCAATGGCTCAGTACAGGGAAGGAAGAGAACTTTCTGGAGAGCAGAGTCGGTAATAACTTGGAGTGGATGCTCTGGCGCTGGCTGGGCCATGGGCTGTGCGCGTTCCCCCAGTCCTGTGGCAGGGCCTGGGCACATGGCCCACTCTGGGGCGGCCAGTCCCGCCGGGCAAGTGCCGGGCTGTGTCCGGGTGTGGGGTGAGGGCGTGGCCTAGGTGCCCCGGTGCCGGGCCCGCACGGCCAGTTTCCGCAGCTCGTCCCAGAAGAGCATGCTGAGTATGGTGTGGGGGCCCAGGCGCAGGTAGGCCGGGCCCAGACCCTTGTAGAGCGCCAGGGGGCCCTCCTGCCGCCAGATCTTCACCAGGCAGTCCGCGAGGCCCCCGTACAGCTGGCCCTGGGGACAGACATGGGGCGGGAGTCACCACAAGGGCCGAGGGGCCCTGCCAGGTGTCTGTGTGTTCAAGGCTTCTGTGGGGACACGGGAAAGGGACTCCCCCCCAGCTGGGCAAATTACAAACAGGTGACCCTCTGGTCTGTGACACTGGAAAAGGGAACCTCTTCCTCCCGGCAGCCACAGCCCCACGCCAGGGGGCTCAGCTTGGCTCACGGTGCCCGGGCTGATCTCGCCACCAACTCACCCTGTGGGTGGCGCCTTTGGTTGACACATGCGTGAGGCCACAGTGCCAGGAGAAGGCCGTGGGGTCAGGCCTGAATTCCAGTTCTGGTTCCTTCACTTACCAGGTGGGCGACCTCAGGGGAGTCACTTGATCTGAGCCTCAGTTTCCTCATCAGGAAAATGAAGGTGGTCGTGGGGATGGAGTTAACCCCAGTGTGGAAGTGCTCAGCCCGCGCCTGGGACCAGGTGCTCAGCAACAAGCCCAGCTGCTGTGTCTGCATGCGTGTCACGTGTCTGTGCGTCTCTGGCTGCTCGTGTCTGTGTCGGGGTGTGTTCCCAGCACCCCACGTCCCCTGCCCCCCGCCCCTCGCACCCTGCCAGCTCCATCCACCGGCTGATTGTACAGTCGCGTGCTGGCCACGTCGAAGGGGGTCATGACGGCAACCACGGCTACGCTGCTAATCATGCCTCCAGCCAGGGCCACCAGCCAGCTGTCCTCTGGGAGCCACTGTGGGGAGGGCACAGGCTGCTGACCCTGCAACTGCCCTCTTCCCACCAGCATGCAGGGGGTGCGAGGGCTGGAGAGAGGGGAACAGACCAGCCCCTCCAGCCATGGCCCCCAGCCCACCACCCCCAGCTCCTTCACAGCTTCGGAGATCACTGCTGTCCCCCCTCCCGCTGGGCCCGAGGGCTTGGGTCACCACTGAGGGCAGAGCCCGGGCCCCACCCGTTGCCACCCCCTGGACCTCCCTGTGTGGAAGGAGGCACAGGTGTCCCCAGCCCCTCACCTGTCGCTCTTGCACCCAGGCCTTGGCTGAGGTGAAGGTGGCCAGCTGGGCGGCAGAGCCCACCATGACTCGAGGCACGGCCCCACCCACGCCCCGCCATAGCCCCGACGGGCCCTGCTGCTGCCAGATGGTCTCCAAGGCACCCAAGACGCTCTGCAGGCACAGGGCAGGAGGTCACTGGACAGCCCCTGCCCAGTCCTGGAGCCCATCCAGCCCATGCAGCCAGGGAGCTCTGGGCAGTGACGGTCCTCACCTGGTGATGGTGCTGGTGCCCCACGGCCATCGCAGCCACCGTCTGGGCCTGCAGCTGCGTTTTCACCTGTGCGAGAGGAGGGGAAGACAGCTTGGGGACAGAACCTGAGGGAGCTGGACAGGCTGTGCGTGTTGAGGGCGCCCCCAGCCTGTGCCTGAAACCCAGAGCTCTGAGGTCCCGCGCCCCAAGCTTAGAGGGCCTGCCAAATGGGGTTGGGGCGCGGCTTTGGAGTTGCCTGCATCTTGCTGTGACTTGGAGTGAGTTACTTGATCTTCTCTGGGCCTCAGCTTTGTCTGTCACCCTTGAAAGGCTGTTCTGAGGATTGCGGGAGATGGTGACTGTCCAGCACCCTCGCAGGACGGCGAGCTCTGGCTCAACGGCAGCTTTCATTCTTAGTTTACTCGAGTCCGCACGGGAAGAAAGTGACCCGGCTAGGATTTGAAGCCCTGCACCTGCCACCCTTTGCCCCTCCCCCAGCTCAGGACCAGTGGGGGCAGGGTCCCCAGGGGAGCATGGATCAGGGAAGGCCCTGGTGCCCTGGGCAAGGGGCAGATTCCAGGCCTGGGCTGGGATGTTCTGGGGAGCAGCCCCACCCAGCGGCCCCACCCCGCCAGGTCTGCCAGCCCCGGAGCCCGCAGAGCCTCCTTGGGAGCCGAGTCACGGGGTGCTGGGGGTTGGAGACCAGGTACTCACCAGGTAAGCCGGGCTCCCCACGAAGGCTCCCAGTGCCCCAGCAACAGCGCCGGCGACCACGGTGCCACCCGGCTGCTGGGTGAGGCCGGCCTGGCACGCCAGGCTGTAGCAGTAGAAGCGGACGCCGTTCATGAGGCCCTGGTACAGCAGGCCGGCGGCCAGCCCCTTCTGCAGGCCCCACAGCCCGTCGGCTCGGGCCACGGCGGCAACAGAGGACACAAGGCCCCGGTAGGGCCGTGGGTAGGTGCCCTGGGCCTGCAGCTCCCCCTGCAGCTGCAGCCGCGTCTTCACCACTTCCAGGGGATTGGTGAAGACACAGGCCAGGCAGCAGGCCGAGGCGCCCAGCACCAGGTCCACAGCTGGGGGCACCGTCTCCATGGCCTCTGTGCCAGGGGCTTGCTGAGGCTGGGGCAGGGGCATGGCACGGACCCTGGGCTGGTGGTGTTTAGGCTGCCTGTGTCCCCGCAGGGCCACAGGGCTGGAGCTCCAGGGTGCCTGAGGCCATGTTTAGAGGACAGGGGTCCCAGTTGGACAGGCCTAGGGATGCCTGGAAGCTGCTGCTCTGCCTGGAGTCCACCTGCTCTGCTCAGCTGCCCGGGTCTGCTGTGCCTGGGACACGCCCCCGCTGGCTCTGTCCAATCCTAGCTGCCTCGGTCTCCACACCTCCCACCTTGGGGCGGGCCTGGATCCTGGGATCTGGGGGAAAGGTCACTAGGGGCTGGACGGAGGATGGGGGTGGGGAGAAGGTGCCAACCAGCCCGGGCACTTCCTCTTGCCCTCCCTCTGGCCCTGGGCACAGGGCTGGTGCTCCTGCCTGGCCTCTGGCTTAGCCTGTCCTGCTCCGGCTCAGAGCCCTGGGCACAGGGCAAGTATCTGGGAGGTCCCTAGACCAGGTGTAGGGGCAACCCAGCAACTGCCCACCCCCACCCCTGCCACTGCCAGTGTGACTCCCTTTCCAGGCCTCAACCTTCCAATCTGGCCCCACAGTCTACGGTCCCTCTGTCCGAGGGAACAGAGGTGGAGAAGGGCTGATTTGGAATCCTAGCACCGCTATTACATGCGACCCCAAGCAAGTCGCCCTCCCTGGGCTCCAGTCTCCCTCATTGTAAAATGGGGCTATTGACGTCCACTTCAGAAGGTTCTTTGGAGGACTGGAGATGTGCCAAGAGTTCGCCTAGCACAGGGCTTCACCCAATAAAGGTGGTCCACATCCCCGGCTGCCTCTGGCTCCTGCCACCCATCCCTGCCCCCTGACTTCAGGGCCCCTGGGTAGGTAGGAGATGGAAAATCAGGTGACCTCATGGCTTTAGCACTTGGCAGGTAAGGACTTGCCCACCAGAAGAGGGAGCCCCTCCTGGCTGGGGCAGGAGGCTTTGCAGCTCCCTGCAGGAGAGCCAGCTGGGGAGGGAAACACCCTTTGTGTCTGGTCAGGAGGGAACTCCCACCCCGGCCCTGCTGTCAGATGCCTGTCTGCCCGGGCTGGGACCAGCACCAGCCTCCCACCTTGGCCTCTGCCCCAAGGCAGCTTTCTCCAGCCAGCCCACCCTGAATCACCCAGGTCCCAGTCAAATCCAGAGGCAGAACCGCCCCCTGGGACCCACCTTTGCTGCCTCCACACCCCCCTCCCTGCCCCAGCCCTTTCCACCCAGGTGTGAGGCCCTTGGGGCAGCAGTGCTGAGTGGCTTGAGGGCCGTACCCTCCGGCTGGCCCCCAGAGGGGACAACTCAGCAAGAGGCCGTGAGGACAGCCTGGACTCTCTTGGGTTTGTTCCCAGAGCAGCTGGCACTGCCCCCTGCCCCCGGGGGCTGCAGAGGTTGGAGCACCCTGCCCGGGGCTGGGCAGGCTGCCAGTGGGCAGCAGTGCAGACAGGCCTGGGACTGGAGCTGGCGGCTGCCCCTCCCCTGGCCACTGCAACAGGAGGGAGGGCAAAGGTCAGGCCAAGGAACTCCCAAGGCCCCGAGCGCCTGCTGATAGTGAGCCCACCAGGGGAAGTGGATCTGGTTTCTGGGGTTGGCACAGAGCAGGTGATGAGCAAGTTTGCAGAATGGGGAAGAAGAAGGGCCTGTGGGCCTGAGGGGGGTTGGAGATCTCCCTCCCCCTACCCTGGTCAAGGAGAGCCAGTGACAAGTCTTGGCAATATAACGTGTCTATTTTATTTTAAAAAACAAAACCCAAACCACCTGACCCCATCCTCAGAGAGCTCTTGACAAAGCTCTTGGGAAAGGCCTGGCTCCAGCCAAGCAGGGGACAGATGTCAGCCGGACACCAGGCCTGGTGGGCTCCACTCCTCTCCAAACCCCTCCTGCCTCCCCTCTGCTCCTGGGTGCTGCGGCACTGCGGGCCGGGGGAGGGGCAGGGCAGGGCCTGGGCGTGCGCAGGCAGCTGCGCGGGGATGGAGTTAGGAGGCAACATGCACAGACACCTGGTGTTCCCACATGGCCAGGAGAGTGTTCCAAAACGAACAAGGGTGGCTGGGCACTCAGGGACCCCAGGCAGCCCTGAGCCTCTGTCCTGGCCCTGACCCAGGAGAGGAAGAGGGACTCCCTTAGATCTAGATTCTTCTCGTCGCCATTCTGAAGAGATGGTGCACGCTGGGGCAGAGGCCCAGGGAGGAGGGCCGTCTGCGGAGCCCACAGGGCTCAGACCCCCCGCCCCAGGGATCTCCAGTCGCTCCCTGCCTGGCAGGATGCCCGGGGTGCTGGGTACCCATCTGGATCCCTGGGAGTGAAGAGACCTGTCTTAAGCCACACTGGTGGTTCTGCCAACTGGGGCAGGAGTGTGCCTCGGCTCCCGAGCAGACGATGGCACGGCCACTGCACAGTGCCTGCTGGCACGCGTGCTCCCTTTCCCGCCCCACCGGGGTGCCAACCAGCCCCGCCTCAGCACCAGGGGTCCCGGGAGGCTCTGCCTCGGCACAGGCTGTCGCTCCGCTGCCAGGCGCTGTGGATGAGGCTCAGGGCGTCCTCGAATTTCTTCTTGTTGGAGGCTTCCTGGAGGGCCTTGTGTGGGAGGTCCACCTGTGTTGGGGGCGTGCACGCCAGATGTGAGGGCCGCAGGCCCCGCACTGCCAGGGGTTGCTGGGGCTCCCGGGCGCCAGCCTGGCCCTGCCCTCACGAGCCCTCTACACCCCTCCCCGGGACGACTTCCACCAGGGCTGGCGCTGAAAATGGGAGGTGCTCCCCCAGCCGCCTCCTTCCCGGGAGGCCGCAGCTCCCAGGCTGGCCCAAGGCGGCCCGCGCTCTGACCAGCCCTGCCCCAGGCATGGCCTGTGCTCGAAGACCCACTCTGCCCAGGGGCCTAACGGGCGCCTCCCGCACGGTAAGCTCGGAGGGCGAGGGGCATGCTCTGCCATTCTTGGGCCCGTGCCATCTGGGCACAGCTCTAGGCCCGCCATAAGCACTTAATTCATGCTTTTTGACCGGAACTGAGGTCAGGAATTTTGTTTCCCAGGTTCTATTTTCAGCTTTCCCCTCAGGCTCCCCAGGAGTCAGGACTTTGTGTCTGTCCCAGGGCTTCTGCTGTCAACCACCCCACCCCCCGGCCCTAGAAGCAGGGCCAGGTTCTGGGAGCAGCCGGGGGCTCCTTTCCCCAGGGGGTGGTTCCCACTCCACAGGGGCCCTGGCTGAGCTAGGTACCTGGTAGATGGTTTTCCACCCAGAATTCAGTGCAGACAGGAATCGGTCCAGTTCGGAAGTGCAGCTCAGGTAGATAACCCAGGGTGGGAGCTGCTGCTGGCTGTCCTGGGAGAACTCCTAGGGCGAGCCAGGCCCCAGGTGAGCAGAGATCTCCCCCTGCAGGGCCTGCTGCTGTCCCACCCCCGCGTGCCCAGCTCACCAAGACACAGTACTCCTTGCCCGGCTCGGTGGAGACAGTGCTGATGTCAGCCAGCTTGGCTGTGCCCAGCGAGCGGAAGAAGCTGGTCTGGCAGTCCTCGTGGCAGGTGAAGATGCGGTCATCGGTGAGGACCAGGCAGCAGGGGATGCAGGGGCTGGGAGCCACCCCCTGGGGGATGACCTGAGGGCATCGGCAGGGGGCAGGGGCAAGGCAGGCTGAGTCCTCCAGGGCTGGGCTGCACCAGAGCTCCCCAGTCCTCTGTCCTCCCCCCAGGAGTCAGACAGGCTCCGCCCCATCAGGAGCATAGTTGGGGACAGGGGTGATGGTGGGAGTGCTCTAGGCTGCAGGTGGCCCTGAGCTCCAGTGTCCATTCCTGGGCTGCCCCCTGGAGTCTGTCCTGGTCCTCACAGGTTGCTCTGTGACTGGTGCGGGTTTGGGGACGGGACCCTGGGGATCTTGTCGGAGCAGGAGCAGCTCACCCCCTTGGACACGGCCTGGCAGAGGTGCTGCATCCAGTCGGCCATCTCGGCCTCGCTCTCGGCGCTCAGCTCTAGGCAGGGCCGGTCAGCGAGAATGACCTGGAAGGCGTGGGGCCGGTCCGTGGTGTTGGATCTCCGGCAGCCACCGCACTGCTCCCCCCTGGGCCAGAGGACGAGGGTGAAATGGGAGCGAGGAGGCAGGGGCGGTGGGTTGGGAGCCCCCGGGGCTGCGGACACAGGACCTGCCCCACAGAGCTGAGGCCAGGGGACACCACAAGGCTGGCAGGAGAGACTTCCCCTTTCTAGATAACACCCCTTATCTCTGAAATTGCCAAGATCCTTCTAGATACCCAAACATGGCCAGGGGAGGAGTAGCGATCAGTGACATTCTCAGCACTGGTGCCCATTCATTCATTCATTCATTCATTCACCCACGGTTCTTTCCAAGGGTGCATGTGTCCGTCCCCTTTCAGGCTAGGAGCTTCCTTGGGGTGGGGGGTGCCTGCCTCCCTCCTACACTGGTCCCATTCCAGGCAAGGAGATCCTTGCTCCCTCCCTCCTCCCCTCGGTGGGCTCCTCGTGGCCCACAGTGCGCCAAACCCCAGGGCCCCAGCCAAGGCTGCTGGGTAGGGGCTGGGGGAGAGGCTAAACTGACAAGGGGGACAGCCGTGGCAAACCAGGGAAAACAAGAGCTCTGGGCCCCAGGCTCAGCCGAGCCTTGACCTTCAGGCAGCACCCCGTCTCCTGGGACACTCACCCCATATTCACCGAGAGCAGAGGGATGACATCCGTGCGGTCGGGGTACTGGTAGAGGATCCCGTTGCTGTTGGAGGAGTGAGGAGTGAGGCCCGTCCCAGGGCTAGGGCCACACAGAGTCCGGATCCCAGGCCTCCCCTCCCCTGCATGAGTAGTGGCCACCAGCCCCAGAGGCAAAGGAGGCCAGGGGCCGCCATCCAAGGAGGGGGGTGAAGAGAGAGCTGGAGGGCCAGCAGGAACATGGCTCAGATCACGGTTCCTCAGCTAGACCCAGCCCGAGTGCACCTGTGGCACCGTGGCCCTGAGTAGACTGGCTTTACAAATAACCCAGGGTACGTTTACTCTAAAGCCCTTGTGGAGAAGGGAGGCAGAGGTGTCCTCTTTTCAGGCCTTTCCCTCAGTGACCTGCTGGGGACCCAGCCACCCAACCACCTCTAGGGCCTGGGCCTGAGCCATGGGGCCGCGGGACCCCCACCTGAGCACCACGAAGCAAGTCTTCCAGTGTTCCTTGCCCAGGTAGGAGGTGCCCGCCTTGTAGTGCAGCATGCCTTCTTTGGTGATGGTGTTCTCGGGGGGAGAGCAGTGGCAGGGGACGGGGCCCAGGGACTCGTCCAGAGGGTCCTCCCAGTGCACAAGCCCGTAGAAGTGCACAGTAACGGCGGATGCCTGGGGGTGGGGGCAGCAGACAAAGTGGGTGAGGTCCCAGCCAGGCAGGTGGCTCACTGATGGACCGGCACCAGGAGTGGCCGTGGAGAGAGCAAGGGTGTTTTAACCTCAGGACATAGCAAGGAGGGAGGAGGACAGGACCCAGAGTAAGAAAGCCTGTCGCAGGCGGGGGGGGGGGGATATTGAGAAATGCTAATGACACCTATTTGCATGGCTTAACCCTAATAGCAAGGCTGGCTGTCACACTAGTGTCTCAAGGAGTGTGACCCACCTCCCTCTCCAGGGTTCTTACCTCACACTTAGATTCCTGGGCCACAAATTTGGCCAGTGCCAGCTTCTCCATAGTGGCATCCGTCAGGATACTGGGGTAGGGTGGCTCTCGACAGCCTTTGATCATGGCTGACTTCAAAGAAGCCAGAAAGAACCTGCGCGGGGAGCGGGGCTGCTGTCAGGGGCCTGGGAACAGGGCTTCGACCCGACAGGGCCTGGAGCGGTCACCGAAGCTTGAGGGAGGGGCCTGGCTGGACCCTGTGCTCAGAGCGGCAGGCAGGGCAGCGAGGAGGTGGGAGTCTGAGGTCATCAGACGGTCACTGGAGAAGGCCCGGCCATTCCCAATGGCTGAGGGGCCTTGGATGTTGACAGTGAGGGAAGACAGACAAGGTGACAGTTGGCAGGACTTGAACGGAGGGGCGTGTACGATGATACAAGTGCTGGAGGGCACAGCACGGCCCAGCAGCATGGCTCTGTGCCTTCCTTCCTGTCGGGCGACTCATGCCACCCTGCTTCCCTTCTTGAGGTCACCTGCGCTGACCACACGAGTCAGTCAGTTGGTGATGGTCCACTCGCCTGTCACTCTGACC